TAACACAAAATGTATTTATTAAAGTCTATCAAAATCTTGGAACATTTAAAAATGAGTCAAAAATATCTACTTGGATTTTTAGAATTACTTATAATGAAACAATAAACTACATCAAAAAAAATGCAAAAGAAAAAAATCTATCTCTTGAAGATTATTCATCATCTATTGCAAAAGATTTAATGGCTGATGAATATTATTCCGGTGATGAAATTAATTATAAATTACAGAACGCTATCGCTTGTTTACCTGAAAAACAACGTTTAGTTTTTGCAATGAAATATTATGATGAATTAAAATATGAACAAATCTCTGATATATTAGGAACATCTGTTGGTGCTTTAAAAGCCTCTTATCATCATGCAGTAGCAAAAATTAAAGAATTTTTAGAAAAGAATGATTAAACTTTTTTATAATTTTATAGTCTAATAGTTGATATGAAAAAAGATGGATTAAATAATGATTTTAAAGTTCCTGAAAATTACTTCAATAATCTACAGGATAAAATACTTTTGAATTCTCTTAAAAAAGAAGATTCTTTTGATGTACCTAAAGATTATTTCAACCAATTAGAAAAAACTATTTCAGAAAAACATAATTTACAAGAATTTAAAGGCAAAAAATCAAAATAATTCCTATATTTATGGTTATCTGCTGCTTGTATAATTAGTTTTGTGTTAACTCTAGTTTGAAATCTTTTTAATGAAATAACGAATCAGATCAACAGATGTTTTAATGCTAAAGTAAGAAAAAGAAGTTTATCAGAAAATTATGATTCATTTATAGAAGATTAAGCCAAAATACAAAATCGTCCTAAAACATACGCTAGACGACCTGATTACTATTTATAATTTATTAATAATTTCTGCACTCAAACCTCTTGTTCAGTAATTCTGTACAACGAGGTTCAAATCTTCCATATCAACCTGTAAGAACTTCACATTTTCCTTTTGTACATGAATTCAACAATTGAACATTGCCTCTGCTTGTTCTGGTGGTATGTTCGCAAAACATCAATTAAAGATTCGATTACCCAATCAATGTATTTTACAATCATCCGTTAAACAATAATTGATGTTTGAGATTCTGTTCTAAAACATCTACAGAAGAATCTTTTTCTGTTTCCCACATTGGTTGTGTTGCGTTTCTTATCATCTTTTAATTATTTTTTAAAATGGAGTGCTATCCATTCATTACGTTGTTTTTTCGAGATGAATTTTAATCCTTTCTCATTACAGAAAGCATAAATATCATCAAAATCTTGTTCCATTAAACCACTTAAGAATAAATCACCTTCATTCTTTAAAACATTAATATAAGAAGGTATTTGACTAATCAAAATATTCTTATTAATGTTAGCTAAAATAATATCAAATTCTTTACTTCCTAAAAGAGAATTATCTCCCATTTTAGCGTCAAGACTAACACCATTTTTCTTTCCGTTTTCAATAGAATTTTCAACTGCCCATTCATCAATATCTATACACTCGGCATAATTAGCTCCGCGTTTCATTCCTAAAATAGCTAGAATAGATGTTCCACATCCCATGTCTAGAATATCTTTTCCTTGGAAATCTGTTTCTAAAATATACTCCACCATTAAGTGTGTTGTAGAATGATGTCCAGTACCAAAAGACATTTTTGGTTGAATAATTATTTCATAAGGAATATTTTCTACAGATTCATGAAATTCAGCACGAATCAAACATTGATCATTCACTAAAATTGGAGTAAAACTCTCTTCCCATGTAGCATTCCAATTCTCTTGCTCTATTTCTTTACGTTCGTAAGTAAAATCTATATTTTCAATAGATTCTATTACTTCTTTAATTATAGCAATATTTTCATCTGTTTTTGGGATATAAGCATCAAATCCGGTTGTGTTTTCTACAAAACTTTCAAATGGAAGTTCTGAAATCATAGCAATCAAAATCTCATTCCATGGATCTATTTCTGCTACTTTAAATTTATATTCAATATAATTTGTCATATTTAAAATTCGAAAGATATTAAAAAAGCTTTCGGCGACAAATTTACAAATATTTGTAAGAAAGTACTAAAGCGAATGCCTACTATAAATCTATATTTTTAAAACCTACCATCATTTCTCTTTTTCCAGGAGGTCCAGGGAATTTATTAACATTATAACCCAAATCTTTAAGTCCTCTTTTTATAGAACCTTTTGCTGCGTAAGTTGTAAAAATACATTTTTCATTCATCACAGAATCTACTATTTCTAATAATTCTTTTTCCCATAACTTCTGGTTGAACACGAGAACGCAATGCATCAAAATAAACTAAATCAAAATTTTGTTCACAGCTATTTTCTGTATATTTAAAAAAATCCTCTTCTACTTTTATTTTAAAATAAGGAAAATGTTTCCAACTTGACCATGTTGAATAAAATAATTGATGATAAAAATCTATAAATTTCCTTTTTTCTATCTTCAAACCAGGATAAATTTTAAAACATCATCAAAAAAATTAATCAATTGAAATTCTTTCCATCCAACACAGGGTATTTTTCGATTCCAACATACTCTATTGGCTTCTGAAGTTTTTCAGCTTCTAGTAAAGTAATAAAAGCATTAAGCCCTGTTCCTAAACCTATTTCAATAATTCTAATCAAATCATTATCAGATTCAAAATATTTTAAGCCATTATTTATAAAGACATGAAAGGCCTCTTGTACAGCTCCATGCTTGGAATGATACGTCTCATTTAAATCCTCTATAAAAATAGTTTTAGAGCCATCTTCTGTCTCTTGAATTATTCTTTTCATCGTCTAAAGTTATCATTTTTTATTGTGAAAAAGAACAAATAAAATGTATCTTTGATACAGCAACAAGCAAAATTTAACGCAAAATGATTATAAAAAAAGTAGCTGAATCAAAATTCAACGATTCAGTTTTCGACACGAAGGCTTTCGGAAGTGAATTTTCTGATCACATGTTAATCGCTCATTACAAAGATGGTAAATGGAGCGAGCCAGAAATTAGACCTTATGGACCTATTTCTTTAACTCCTGCAGCAATGTCTTTCCACTACGGACAAACTATTTTTGAAGGAATGAAAGCTTATAAAAATGAAAATGATGAAGTTTTTATTTTCCGTCCAGAAAAAAACTTTGAGCGTTTTAATTTATCAGCTTCTCGCCTTAATATGCCAGAAGTTCCTAAAGAAATTTTTATTGATGGTTTAAAAACTATCGTTGATATCGATCGCCAGTGGGTTCCTAAAAACTATGGTACATCTCTTTACATTCGTCCAGTAATGTTCGCTACAGAAGAAACTGTTTCTGCTAGAGCTGCTAACGAATATATTTTTGCTATTTTATTAGCTTATGCACCTAGTTATTATGAAAAACCATTATCTGTAAAAATTGCAGATTTTTATAGTCGTGCTGCACAAGGTGGTGTTGGTTTCGCTAAATGTGGTGGAAACTACGCTGCATCTTTTTTCCCAGCTGCAGAAGTACAAAAAGAAGGATATGACCAAATTATTTGGACAGATTCTATTAGTCACAAATATATTGAAGAAGCAGGTACAATGAACGTAATGGTTCGTATCGGAAATAAATTATTAACAGCTCCTACTTCTGAAAGAATTTTAAATGGTGTTACACGTGATTCTGTTTTAACTTTAGCAAAAGACGCTGGATACGATGTTGAAATTCGTCCTGTAGAAGTACAAGAATTATACGATGCTTACAAATCTGGAGAATTAAAAGAAGTTTTCGGATGTGGAACAGCAGTAGTTATTACACAATATAACGCAATTGGTTTTGGTGATGAAAGAGCTCAATTAGCAGATTTACCAGAAGAAGAATCTTTTGCTTTATCATTAAAAAGAAATTAAAAGAACCAATATGGTTTTGGTTGAAGACCATTACCAATGAGAGTAAAAATTTGAAAAATAATTTTTATTCACCAAAAATTATAAAATAACATTGTTACATTTTCTAATTAATGGATTTTTATTTTATAATAAAATGTTCAATTCTGCCTTGTCGAAGAAACTTTTAATTATTTTAAATAGAAATTTCATTCGACTTGCCATCAAAGCATAAAACAATAAATATAATTAATATTCAAAAAGAGATTTCGTAATAGAAATCTCTTTTTGTTTTTTAAAAAGCAATTCATAATTACCTTATTCTTTATAAAGAACACTTTTTTTTGGGGCAATACCTTCGGTCCGTGCTTTTTCGCTATATCTTTTTTAATCAATAAAAAAAGCTGCCCAAAAAGGACAGCTTTTATAAATATTTTTCAGAATAATCTTATCCTTCAAAAACAACACCTTCGTAACAAGCGTTATAGATAGCTTTTAAATCTTCTAAAACTGGAACTCGTGGGTTGAAACCTGTACAAGGATCAACTAATGCATTGTTTGAAATATAATCTAAGTTTTTCTCCCAATCTTCTTTAGAAATTCCAAATTCTTTGATTGAAGAAATATTATTTACATCAGAACGTAATTTTTCGATTGCTTGTGCTAAATCTTCAGCTGTTTCTTTTCCAATAACTTTTGCTAAATCTGGGAAACGAGTTGAAACTTTTGCATTGTAACGAATTACGTTTGGTAAAAAGATTGCATTTGCAGCACCATGAGGAATACCGTATAATGCACCAACTTGGTGAGATAATGAATGTACAATTCCTAACCATGCATTGTTAAATGCTAATCCAGCCATAAAAGATGCGTCATGCATATTTTGACGAGCTTTAATGTTTGTAGGATTGTGTTTACTCCTCTTTGTAAGTTATCAAAAACAATTTCTAAACCTCCTTAGCTAAACACAGCATAGTATCTAAATATTGAAACATAAGCTTCAAACAGTGTGGTTAATGCATTAATCCGTGTTAGCAGTAATATGCGCAGGCATAGAAGCACAAATTTCTCCATCAACAATTGCGATATCTGGTGTTAACTCATAAGAAACGATAGGATATTTTACTCCTTTTTCTCTATCTGTAATAACAGCTAAACCTGTAGTTTCTGTTCCTGTACCACTTGTAGAAGGAATAGCAATAAATTTAGCTTTATTTCTTAATGTAGGAACTGTAAATGGTTTTGTCATAGCATCAAAACTAGCATCTGGATGCTCATAAAAAACCCACATCATTTTCGCTGCATCAATTGCAGAACAACCACCTAAACCGATAATCCAATCTGGTTGAAATTCGTTCATTACTTCAGCTCCTTTGAAACTTGTTGCAGAAGAAGGATCCTCCTCTACTCCATCAAAAACTTTAGTTTCTAAACCAGCTTCTTCTAAAAAAGCAATTGCACGATCCAAAGCTCCACTCTTTTTCATAGAACTTCCTCCTGTAACGATAATAGCTTTTTTACCTTTTATATTTTTTAATTCTTCTAATGATCCTGCTCCGTGAAATACTTCACCAGCAACAAATAATTTGCTCATATTGTTCTTATTTATTTTTCTAATGCAAAATTAGTTGTGAACGTTAAAGCAAATGTTATACAAACAAGACTATGTATTATACTTTTGTGCCAATTCTTGTTGTAATTGTGTTGGAGTAAGATTTAATTTAGCTTTTACAAATTTATTTAAAGCCGCTGGAGAATTAAAACCTAAGTCAAAAGCTATTTCTTTATGAGAAATATCTGCGAACATTAATTGCCGCTTAATCTCTGTTAAAATACGATTATGAATTGCATTAATTGCCGTTTCTCCACAACTTTTCTTTGTTATTGAATTCAATTTTTTTGTCGTTATAAAAAGTTTATCAGCATAAATTGTACTGTTCTTTCTTTATAACTTTCATTCACATTTTTTGAAATTGAATAATATATGGCTCGATCATTTTGTAGTTTGTCCTAAAACAGGATGCTGACCATGAATAGATTCTATAAGAGATAACAACAAAATTTTAATATAAAAACGAGCCTGCTCTTTCTTGATTTGACTTGGATTCTCGTATATCTCTTTGACTAAAGAAACAATATGTATTTTTTCTTGATAATCTTTGATAGGAAGAAC